CCCCCCCCCAATCATTTTCACTGATTGCTGTTATTATGTGACTCTTCAGACTAGAGGTGCAGAGCTACTCCACCCACTCGCCTGTAAAATCAGACAAATCACTGGAGGACGTGCTGGACAACCTCAACCTCAGCTCCACCATCACCCCTCAGATGATCAACCTCGGCCTCTCACAAGAGCGTAAGGAGTCTTAATCTGACACCAATGATTTTGAAATTGCACCTTTTTTTCCATGTAGCAAATGTTTCGTCACACTTCTTTGAGAACCTGACCCTAATGGCTTTTAACTGTGTGTTTTCACAGTTGTTGATGAGGTGTGGCAGCAGCAGGCCGTGTTCAGGCTGCTGCAGCTGATAGAGCTCCCTCTGTTGGAGAAGCTGTTGGATGGTAAAGAAGCATCGAGGCCTCCCCTGCACAGCATGGACAGCGACCCCGACCTGTTGTATACATCCAGCTACCTCGACCGAGAAGTTCTCAAGGCCTTCAGTGAAGCACAGTAAGCTCTCTCAAGCTTCTACATGTTCAACCAAGTGTCATTTAACCCTCCAATCTATGTTTCTTAAGAGCTATCAGTCCTAATCTACAGGTTGTATTACTCTTAACTGGCTGCTTTACAAACATGTGTTAATACAACCCATAACCACATTTGTATATAGGGACCTTTTGTTGGTGTGTTGCCATGCTTTCTAACTTAAAGGAAGATTGAGCTTTACCAGATTTTAACCAGACCAATGACCAAATCCATGCTTATTGGGAGCAGTCAAGTTCTTTCTAAATCCCTGAGGGTCAACCGCTTATCTGACCTTCTTGTTTCAGTTGTTGCCTTCCCTGCTCCCTCACTTTGACCAATCTGTGGGCAGTATTTAAAAGAACTCCCCTTTCTCCTCAGGGATGATGAGTGGCTGTCCGGAGCGGTGGACTGTCTGGAGTTCCTTCCCGATGATCTGGTGGTGGACGTCAGTCGAGGTTTGGCCGGGTGTGCCGATGACCTGCTGCGGTGTAAGAGTCTGCTCTACGAGGTCTTGGTTCAGCACTACAGAAACACGCAGCAGCCTCCTCTGCTCAGCAACCACGTGTTCGACATCCACTCCGGCATCTCGGAGCTACTCGGTAAGAGCAGATCTTTTTGGATTCCTTTTGTTTGCATGAGGCTTGGTAATGCTTTCATGATGCATAAAGCTTTATTTATTTTTTCAGCTTTATTTGTTTATTTTTTTTGTCTATCTTCTGACCAGATGCCACATGTTTTTCCTTTTAAATGACCCTCAACAATCTGTATATATTCTACTGTTCTTCATTGCATTTTAATTTTAATTAAAAAAGCAACCACTACTTTGCACACTTGTATAATGTATACAGAATCCTCTGTTTGTATTTTTTTCAAGTAGTTGGTTGGTTTATTAGTGTATTCTTACTTATTCTGTATATTTTATCTAGTGTATTCTAGAGATACTCTAAAGATATATACTTTTCTACTTGTATTGTTTTTTTTATTTGATCTGACTCATGCTGCTGAAACTTATACAATACAATAACCTTTACAATTTGCGATCAATAAATCAGATTTAAACGTATTTGAACCTAAAGGCAGGTGTCATATGTTTCTGCCAATGCCGGTTTAATCAAAAGGACAAGCAAGCTCAGCATTTTAATCCTGGTATGTTTGTTTGTTTTTGTCAGTGAATGGCAAGCAGGAGCAGGCTCTGGAGGCTCTGCAGCTGAGCCTGAAGCTGCAGGACTCTCGCAGCAGGGAGGAGCTGCGCAGGCTCCTGAGATTCATGGCTGTCGCAGCCGAATCCCAGGAGGTCAAACTGCACAAAGAGGTGAGTGCTTGTGGGCCTCTCGAATGAGTCAGAACATGCGTATGTTTGAGCTTTGTTAAGGCTTAATATTTGTCTTTCAGATTGAGAACAGAATGGCAGTGAAAAGGTCTTTCTCGAGTGCCATCGTCTACAGCAAAAGACTCTCCAAAGGAAAGGTGGCCTTGATGGTTCTGTTCATGATGGATAAGCACTGCGATCTGTTCAAGGTTAGTAATCCTCATTTATATTTTAGCCTGTTTGCATCTGATTTTGTTGGAGGGATGAAACAATCAGCAAAGTCGTCGGGTCGGGTCAATAAAATGCACTTTTACACAGACTGCATGATTTCAACAATCATGTCAGATATTATTTGAAAGATAATTCCTGAATCAGATGTATCTGTGACTGTTTGTCAAACTTTGTGTCTGATGCTGCTTTCTTTTCCACCAGATTCCTGTTTCATTACACAAAATGGTCAGTGACAGAATAATAAATATTGTAAAAGGCAAGGATCCAGAAGTGACAACAGGTTTGTTGATTTTCCTTGTTTATATATTTATTGTTTACAACATAAAAGCCAAAAGTATGAAACGTGAAAACACTTTGCCTTGGTACGAATAAATTAGACCTAATTCTGTTTTTCCACCATCTCTTTTTATAGGACCGTCACACTGCACAAGAGTGAGCGCTAAGGCCTACTCGGAAAATGCACAAAAAACCACTAAGGAGGAACTTTGGTCCTTACTCCGCACTATCCACGAGAACCCAAAACTCTCCTCTAAAGAAAAGAGACGGCTGCTTGGACAGTTTTACAAAGGCCACCCTGAGCTTTTTGTTCAATACTTTGGAAATAGATTGTCCAGACACGTGTTGCTACAGTGATATTTGTCAGTTTAACAATTTATGTATAATTATGTAAAGAATACGTACATGAAAGAAGCTAATGTGATTTAAATGACGTGCAGATGTGCAGTTAGTGCATGGATTATATTTGCTAGTATGTAAATAGTTTAGACTACTGAAAAAAATGTGAATTTTCAAATGTGGAGACTCACAATAAGCTACGACAATTAAGGACGTATTTCATTTCTTAGATATTTTCTTTGGTGCAGGACACTAACATGAAATGTCCTTGTCAGTTATTTATGTGTCTGCAGTGTGTCTTGACGGCATTCAGGCTGCATATATCCCTTTTAAATGGATGTATTCTGTGTGTTATAGTGCAATAGGAACAGTCTTAGCATGCAGATGTTCTGTTCATGTGGTTTCTCATACACAATGTGATGCACAGTAGAGTTATGTCTCAAACGGAAATTTGAACCTGGAAATGTGAAAGTCTGATGTTATTCTGTAGCAAAAAGTCAGAGGCATTTATGTGAATCAGCCCTCTGGGTTTATGTGTTGCAACTCTCAGAATACAGATGTTTGTATTTTTTATTTTTTTATTTAAACCTTATCCACGTTTTAGTGGTATCTTTAGGGTTTTGTTTTGACAAAGGTTTATGTATTCCTTATACTAAGATGAGGAAATGACATCCACATTTCCAATTGACAAACTCATCCCCGGACTAAGTTTTAAACCACTCACATCTTGTTTGTATTTTGGAAAACCTTAATAAAATGCATCTAGAATTGTCAAACATTCAAACATGTACATTGCATCTTTTCAATGCAGACAAAAGCATTTTTATTCTTAAAGATAACAAAAGGGAATTGGTAAATCGAATCATTTATAAATACAACACAAAACATGTTTACATCTGAGGCAGTCTCTAGTACACTGTGTCCATTCTTACTTGACTGAACACGGGCCTTGCCTAGAGCTTTTCCTGTTAATACCTGACATAAAGTATCCTACCTTTACGTTTAAACAGAGTTGCATAATTGTGAAATCTAGGGCTGTTTAATGCTATTGAAGTTTCCAGTTGAAAAACCTGTGAAATTGTGTTTTATATAAGATACAAATATTTGTATCGGTAACATTTTAAGGAAGATATTTCTGCAATGTGGAGTTCACCTAACTGTTTCTCATACGTCAATGTTTAAATACGAAACAAATAGGGCTTCAGCTCAACACCTCAAGAGTCCTGTTGAAATATCAACTCAAATATGGAAATGAGCGGTGCTTTCCTTTCCGAAACTTTGGATAAAACATTGTTCACAGCTTACATTAAACACAACTTTAGTGCTAGATAGAAAAATCACTAACTCTTACCAAGTTTGATTTACATTTCTCTAGCTGTAATGGCTTTTTCAAATTCACAGCTAACGTGAAAATGAGAAACGGCCAACAAGCATCCCTTTGATTGACAGGTCGTTTTGGTGGGGTGCCCTACTATAGCTATAACGTTTATCATTCAGAAGCTGTTCAATACAAACACATGAAGACAATGTTAGACTTTTTTTCTGAGCAGTAGAAAGACTCAAATTGTTCAAATGTACAATATGTTGTTAATATTGCAAGAGGAGTGGTGTTCAGTTTATTCCAGTGTAACCTGTGCACAGACTCAACTAGGCTGCCAAACACTCAGAACAAAGGCTTTGCGAGGCAGACAAATACTGATGTCATCAGGTCAATGTGAAAATAAGCAGCTGGCTGACATTGAAGAGTTCACTGAATATGATATGTTCTCCAATCAAGTCATAGTTTTTCTCAAGTAACGGACTGAAATACGCATTAATAATTTAAAGCTGAAAGTAAAGATTTAAGTTTGTATCACAAAAATGATGTGTCAAAAGCTGCCCTCTAGTGGAAGGCCTGGCATGAGTTGGCTAAAAAAGAAGTCTTGATAAAATGCACAGTCAGTTTAAAAAACAGCAAAAAAGCATCAGTTCAAGTAAGTGAAATAAAAAGCAAATCGGTTTAATTCTTTTCCATTTTTATTGAAAGGAATTTCGTTTTTTCTCCAGTTATCTAAAAAAAAGCTTGATTCCACCTTCCCTATCACCGGAACATCACAAGGCCAAAACTGAACTGTGTGCCAAAATTCACCGTGAATTAAAAATTTTGTACAGTATAATGATCAGTCTTTAAAAATAAAAACTGTTAACAAACAAAAAAAGCCACGAGAACACTCAGGTATACATACTGTGTGTATGTCTGTGAGTGTGTGTGTGTGTATGTATGCTTGTCTTCTGTACAGAGATAAATTGATGTATAATCTGTCAGACACTAAGAAATGTGAACATGAACATTTAGCCGGTGTTGCCACCTGTAAAGATTACATTCTCGAAGGGTTTAGTGTGTGTGTTTCAGTTGGTTTATCGAATCCTCTTCTGTTGGCGTGCGCGGTAGATGTCGTGTATGGGTGGAGCCACAGCTCCTTTGTCATCCTCCTCGTCGGAGTCTGCGTTAGGCCTCTTCAGTGACTTGGCAACAGCATGGTTCTCCATGGAGCCATTCCCCTCCCCTCCTGCATCTGGCAGTTTACCAGTGATCAGCTCTACAGCAGCATCAACAGCTAAAGAGACAGGAAACCCATCAGTAACATGTCACATGAGGGGAATTACAATACATTTTCTGCCAATTCATTTAAAAGCTATTTCACTCTGGGTCCAAGTGTTTCATCACTGGATGACCGCCCACACATTTGACGGACATTTCCTTCAGCAGAGCCACGTTGCTAGGGTGTCTAAAAATAGAACTAGTCTGGATTCACCAAAAGATCGGACTTACTTTCAGGAAGTGTGCATCTCCTGAATAATTCCATCATCTCATCCACTTGAACAAAGGGTCCCTGCAGTGAAAAAAAGAAATAATCAAAGCGGTATTGCAGTATATTAGAAAAGCTCCTTTCATCTAGTATCCATTAGCAGTAAATATGAGCTAAACAGCATTAAACTGCTGCTACTCACAGTGAAGCACGTAGGCGGAGGAAGCAGCTTCATTAGGACAACAGCAGCTGGGGGGATTGGGAAAACTCCTCCTGGGACAGGGTGTAAACCTGGAGCTGGGGGGGGGGGAACACAAGAGGCTACATCAAAGAGGGATCCTTTTATGTGAAACATTACTGTAATAGAGACAGTGTGACGTAATTCTTCATCACAGAGCTTCCCTGATTTGTTACTACATCAATAGGCTACGTACGGGCGAGGTGACGTGGCTGGAAGGGAATCATCTGGTTGGTGTCAGGTTTGGGGTACTCAGGTTTACGATCAGCGTCATCCTTTTGTGCCGGCGTAGAGGGCGTCACCACGGTTTCTGGTAGCAGCGCTGCCAGTTTGGCACGAGAAACATCCTACAAACACATAGGGGAAACGGTTTGAATACGAGTTGAAGGAGAAGCCTCTATATAAGCCTTTATTCATTAGTAAAATTGCTCTAACAGCGAAATATAGCATGTTTAGTAACTTCTAAAAGCCAAATACACACCTTGTATCCGAGGGCCTTGAGTTCACTAGCAGAGCAGGGATACAGGTCCATGAACTTGTATCTATCTACAAGCAAGGCTGTTTCTTTGCCCTCATACTCGTCTTTGAAGGCAGTGAAACGCCTGCGCTCCACTTTCAGGATACTGGCCAGGTCTCCTATGTTGCTCTCAAAGGCCAGAAACCGAGCCCAGATCTCACTGAAAGATGAAGGAAAACAGAAATTAACAATCAAATGTCTTCAGAGGTATTTAGGGTTATTCCACTTAAATACTTTCACAAAATGTAATCATTATTTCACGTTACCCTGATTTTTCTGCTGACAAGCTTCCTGATGTGAGGACACGTTCAAACAGGACCCTTGTGTTGTTATCCTCTGGAGACCGAAACAGCAAAGGAAGAAAGAAAAACAACAGGTTTAGACATTTATATAACAGTAACTGCTCCTTGCACTATATCACTGGATGAGTAGAACAGACTTTACACTTTTTATTATTACACTTAACCTACCATTAAGATGTGAGAGGTAATCAATGTATGCCAGGATGTACTCTGGAATGTCACCGTATTTCTTCAAACCAAGCTCAAAGATCTTGAAGGCCACTGATTTATCCTGTTGGAAAAAGACGAAAAATGGTTCAACCAAATCATTTTTTTTATTTAAAATGAATTGAGTCACCAGGTATATACTCAACATGAGATTATGTGTACTTACCTTGCTGCAGTAGTACTCCATCAGTGCTGCAGTCACATACACATGGTGACGTGTGCGGAGATCCTCTCGGGCCTTTTTGAAAATGGTACGACCCGACTTGATGCCCTCCGCCCTCCTGGCAAACTTCATGTACTGAATGTAGACCAGCGTGGGGTCGATGTCCTCGATGGCCACCAGTTTGTTGTAGATGCCGTGAACTTTCTCGTACTTCATGCGGCTCTATGAGGAAAGCGGAAGATATACGTTGATGAGGCTTCCAGTTTCTTTCTGTGACCGATCTCAATTTGTGCTGAGTGGACCCTCACCTCTTCATAGTCGGCAAATGCGAAGTAAAGCAGCATGTTCTTCTTCAGAAGAGTCCCGATGGCACGTTCATAGATGTTAGCAGCCTCGTCACTAAACAGCTTTGAATTATTCATGTCCTGCAAGAAAAGAGTTTAGAGAATGATAGGAGTCTTTCGAGTTGTACTGAAGAACACTAAACAGTGGGAAAGGTTCTTTAAACTTCTTACCCCTTTCTCTGCCAGCAGTTTGCTGGACTGCTCCAGGTACTGTGCTGCCTCGTACCAGACGTCAGGATGGTGGCCCAGCACCAGCAGGCACTGCTCATAGGCAAACATCACTGCAACACACAATGGTGATTGACTTTAAATTCATAAATTAAGATTCTAAAAGCAGGGGCGTCAAGACTCAAGGCCCGCGGCCAAATCATTTCATGTGGCCCGCAAGCGCTTGCAAAGAATACAATAGGTTTATTATACGGTTACATGCCGCTTTACAGAAGTACGTTGCCCGTAACCACAATGCATCTCATTTTGTGACATGTTATTGACAATTATTTGCCCTAGACTTCGGCTTTCAGACGTAGTTAATTATGAAGTTATTACCTTATAATAATCCAATGCAGAGGCAATAATGTAATATAATACATTATTTTATATACATTTATATCGTCTTAAAGTTACAGCTGGCCCTTTGAGTGCAACCATAATGCTGATGTGGCCCACGATGAAATTGAGTTTGACACCCCTGTTCATAAGTGTCAACCTACGCCCTCTAGTGGTGCTTACCTACAGGAGAGAAGCTTCATACATCATTTACCTCCATTGACTGATGCTCAGGACATTATTAAAATTGTATAGCAGTGTGATTACTGGAACCACAGGCCCCAGCGCATACAGCAGGGATTTTAACTGCCATCACAACACCTCCTAACAGTGATAAGTCACCTCTCTTTGTGATGAGGGTCTGGTCTTCTGTGCGCAGTGGGTTGCTTTTTTCCCACTGGATGTACTTCTTCCACATGTCCACTTGCTGGGATTCCTGAGGGGAGTTCTGGGGAGGTACTGAGGGGGCGTTCCTGTCCAACCCCTTCATCACAGTCTCATATTCCTAATTTAAACAAACCATGTATTATTTGTTTTAACAAAGACAGCACTAGGATTCTAAAGAGGTTTTTGCATTTGACACTTTTTCTCACCTTTGCAACTCTTCTGGCATTCATGTAGTCCCTACTCCGGTCCTCAATCATCTTTTTGGCCAGGTGCACATTGATGCCCTGTTCATGAAATAGACAGGTCAGTCCAGTAATCCATTACTCTCACACTGTAACAGCTAATTGTCCATATGAGTGAACATCCAGAGGTAGACAGATGACTGGGTGTGTCACTCACCTCCTCATATTTGCTATAATCTCTCCAGAGCTGCTCGATGTTGATCATGGGGTTCACACAGCCCCTCTGGTACACCCTCCGTACGGCAGTGATGCGCTGGTTCTCTGCATATGAGCCCACAGCCTCACTAATGGACACAAGTCAAAAACTGTCAACATTAAGGAATTTGCTGAGGCAGTTTAGATAGTTTCACAATATTACAGGAGAAGCACTTACACTCCTTTGAGGAAGTTTATGTAGTCCACCCAAATCTGAGGAGAGGAAGGGATAGCTGTTAGGTGACAGTTGTTAAGAGACATGTATATAAGGTACTAATAAATCGCTCAATCTGTGTACCTGATAAGACATGATTTCCATGCCGATTTTATCTAATGCGAAGTCATACGCTTGGGCCATCTTCTCTCTGAGGGTTAAAAGAGAAGTAGTTTGTATCTTTCAGTACAGCAGTATGTAAATATACTTAAAGGTCCCATGTCATGGCCATTTCCACTGATCATAATTCCATTGTTGAGGTCTACTAAAATAGATTTATATTGTGCAATTTTCCAAAATCACTTTGGTTTCTCATACAGCATCTCTGTAAACTACGTGTATTCACTGAATTTCACTCTCTGCCTTTAACGGCTCGTTGTAGCTTCAGTAGCTCCAGCCCCCACCCTCCCTGTGAGCACAGTGTGCTCTGATTGGTCGGGACGTTGTGAATCGCGCTAAGCTCCGTGGAGGTGTGGTTTCCTTGTTTAGCGACAGCGAAACACAGCCAAACTCCTCCTGAGCACACACAAAGTCACAGCCGAAGTAAAAACAATAAGTGTGGCTTGATATTGAGTAAGAAAAAAGTTGATAAACGCTGTGAGAATGGGTCTGCAGAGAGAATTTCGCCGCGATCCCAGGGATCGCGGCGAAATTCTCTCTGCAGACCCATTCTCACAGCGTTTATCAACTTTTTTCTTACTCAATATCAAGCCACACTTATTGTTTTTACTTCGGCNCACTTACAAGTAAGACAACAACCTACATAGTTGATTTAAAGGTCCCATGTCATGCTTTTCCGGTTATTACCCGTCCCCTTGTGCAGAGTCAAAACCCTCAAAGTACACCCTGTAGCGAGTAAAACTCTAACACAGAAAATACCTCCCCAAAACGC